TGTAATGTTGATTTTTTCGGTTTAATTAATGTACATATTACCCAAAAAAATTATGTTTCTTTTCCTAAGAATTTATCATATTTTTGAGACTTTAATTCCAGGTCATCATGATTTTTTTTTATCTGTTAGTTAGTAGAGGCCGAACAACCCCAAATTTAGAAGGCATGTAGTTATTACGATTACAATTATATACCATAAATATTTTTGGATTATCTAACCAAACAATCATACTTTCTTACAAGAAATTTATACTTATACAATTAAATATCATATTTTCATTTATATTGTATTTTAAAGAATGATATTAGAATATCAAAGTGTATAGTTGTATTGGAATTAATTGTATGACCGATTAACCAATAGATAGTCTAACACAACACAAACAAAGAAAATGTAAATGGTATAAATAATTTTTTATATATAATATTATGGACGGGCTTATTATTTAAATTTTTTATTGAGATTATGTGAGGAACGTAGAAATTATGCAAATGACGTAGACGAAATAAACTTAAGTGCAGCGAAACTAGAGTTAAGGTTTGGTTACTTACAGTTTAAAACATTTCGCAGACTCTGTACACAATACATGGCCTGCTGGGTCAGACGAACGACTCTGAGTTGTGCTTCTCAACCTCCTCGTCTCGCCTTGACTGGGTATGTCTTCGCTGCCGCTCGTCGATCAGCGTGCACCGAGGTCACTGGGTTGCCTTGTGGCGTCTCGTGCTTGGTCGCCGGTGATCGAACCTCGTTGTCGCGCGCACTTGGTCGTCGGAGCTGTTTGCGCGTGTTGTCCGTGAAAATGTTTGAAAAATTTACCAGTTATCCAATAGGGCACAATCTACCAAATAATTTCAGCAATATCGGTGAAACCCATTTTGAAATTAGATGAAAAAAGTTACTTTGTTGAGAAGCAAGTGGCCAGCGTTAAAAATTATGAGAAATCAACTCACACGGAAATTAAGTTGTAGTTCAATAATTATTTTGAGTAATTTAAACTCATTTAATAGACTTTGTGTAAATTTTTTAAAGGCAATATATGATTGATTTAGAAATTCATTTGGGAAATGTACCAAAAAACATGTTTTTATACCTTGTATACCATTTTCACTAAAAATTAGGCTATTTGTATATGTTGAGATACAAGCAATTTCTAATTGGATTTTACTATGCCGTGAAGATCACTAAAGCTCGAACACAAACAAATATAAACATCAGTTTCTGTTTCTCTTAGTAATTTGCGTTTCATAGCCAATTACATATTTGCTATACAAGAAAACTTCACTTCCATCACCAAAGTCTTACTGAAACTAGGCCACACATTGTCATGAAGAAAGAGAACAAAGTGTATAAAACAAATTTTAAGTATGGGTAATTGTGTTAAACTTTTATTATGTCACATGTACATATTTATCATGTATAATTAATTAATCATACAAAACATTAATTAATCATACTTAATAAATAATTTATCTTTTAAAAAATTAAAATAATTATATTATCATGTACATCGCATGTGTACTTTATTGATAAAAAAATCCTTCTTATATATAATTTCCGAATGTGCTGAGCCTAAGTGGTAGGCTCGCACACTTCGGAATTTCATGTGCCAAATTTTCGTGGTTTGTCATTTAGCTTTAATGGATTTTGGTTTATTTCTATTGGAGTCAAATAAAGCTGAGTCACCTTTGATGACTAGGCTAGGTTAGTTAGAGTAATTAGTAAGCTAACTAAGTTGTTAGCTAAGAGTACAAGTTAGAGCGAGAGTTATTATACATATAAATATGCACTGTACTGCAACATCTTTTAGTTGAACATTCAATACAATTAGTCACAGTTTACCATAGCTTACATTATGCTTAACATGGTATCAGTTTCAAAGCCAGCGTAATTTTTCTCTCTCTCTCTCTCTCGCTCTCACAGCTATGGCCGATCCGATTTTGATGAACTCTCTCCCACATCTCACTCCTCTTCCTCTGCGTCTGGATCGCACAAATTTTCCCTATTGGAAGGCTCAGATTTTGTCGACTGTTCGAGCACACGGCTTTGAAGATTTTTTGGTGAATCCATGTCCGCCGGACAAATTTCTCTCGCCGACAACATCTGGTTCTTCGACTCCGGTGCTCAATCCTGCTTTCACGATATGGATGCGTCGCGATCAACTGATTCTCAGCTGGATGTTAGCTTCAATTACCGATTCAATGCTCGGGCATATCACGCGATGTTCTTCATCTTCTGAGGTTTGGTCGATCCTTTCTCAGTTATTTCAAACTCAGTCAAAAGCACGCGTTCTTCATCTCAAATTTCAACTGCAAACACTTAAAAAGGGAGACTTATCTGTTGATGATTATGTGTTGAAAATGCGGACCCTAGCCGATGAACTTCATTCTGTTGGTCATGTGATTTCTGATGACGAATTGGCGATGTATATTCTCGGAGGTCTTGGTTCTGATTATGAGTCTGTAGTGGTTAATCTGACGTCTCGATTGGATAGCATTTCTTTACCTGAGGTTCAGTTTTCTTTACAAACTCATGAGATGCGCTTACAGAGTCATATTGCATCTACACCAGTTGCTTTTTCTGCTTCTACAACTACTACAGATCCAGCAGCTTTCTATATGCAATCTCGTGGTGGTTTCTCTCGTGGTGGTCCTGCAGGCTTTAATCACAGAGGTCGTGGCAGATCCTCTCGTGGTCGTGGTGGTAGATTTTATAAGAACTCTGACCGTGTTGTTTGCCAATTATGTGGCAAAGCTAACCATGTTGCTCTTAAATGTTTCAAACGGTTTGATATAAGCTTCACAGGCTCAGACTCAGCTGTTCCACCACCTCAGGCTCATATTGGTGAAACATCTACTACTGCATCACCTGCTTTCACTGATCCCAACTGGTACTTTGACAGCGGGGCTACGAATCATCTCACAGCAAACCTTGAAAATCTGTCACTACAAGCTACCCCCTATCATGGTGCAGATACAGTCACAGTTGGTAATGGTTCTTCCCTTCCTATTTCTCATGTTGGTTCTTCTACTCTTTCCTCTACTGTGCCTATTCTCTTAAATAATATCCTTCTTGTTCCTGCTATCAGCAAGAATCTTCTCAGCATCTCTCAGCTCACTCATGACAACAACATTTATATTGAATTTCATTCTTCTTTCTGTCTTGTGAAGGACAAGACCACAAATCAGGTCCTATTGGAAGGACTGCTTAAAGATGGACTCTATCAGCTTGATTTGTCCAGGCATCAATCCTTCCTCACACAGTCTTCTCCCTTATCTGCTTTTTCATATTCTTGTTTACCTACAAGGACAAATTGTACAAATTCTGTTGTTTCAGACTTCACTGCTCATGTGGCCTGTTCTGATAATATTGTCACTTGGCATAAGAAACTTGGCCATCCATGTAATAATGTTCTTAAACATGTGCTTAGCAGTATGAATGTGTCTTTTTCAGCCTCTGCTTTACCTTTCTGTGATGCATGTACACTTGGTAAGCTTCATCAAAAGCATTTTGCTTCTCAGCCAACTAAATCCACTAAACCATTTGATCTAATTCATTCTGACATCTGGGGCCCCTCTCATGTTGTGTCTATTGATGGTTATAAGTACTATCTCCATTTCATTGATGATTATACCAGGTATACATGGATTTTTCCATTAAAAGCCAAATCAGATGCATTCTCCATTTTTCAGAACTTCAATACATTTGTTGAGAGACAATTTCATACTACTATCAAGTGTGTGCAAACTGATTGGGGTGGTGAGTATAGAACTTTTGCTCCTTTTCTGGCTAGGTTAGGTATAGTGTTTCGACATCCTTGCCCTCACACACACCAACAAAATGGAAAGGCTGAGAGGAAACATTTACATATTGTGGAAATGGGTCTTGCCTTATTAGCTCATGCTCAGGTGCCACTTAAGTTTTGGTGGGACGCCTTTAATACTGCTGTTTACATCATCAATCGGCTACCATCTCCAGTACTTCAGAATCATTCTCCATTCTTCACTCTATATAACAAATATCCCGATTATTCCTTCCTCAAACCTTTTGGTTGCGCTTGTTTTCCATACCTCAGACCTTACAACTCCAACAAATTTCAATACAGAAGTTCAAAATGCTTATTCCTTGGTTATAGTCCAGATCACAAGGGGTATAAGTGTCTCAGTCCCACTGGCAGAGTGTACATTGCTATCACTGTTGCTTTTAATGAGCAGGAGTTTCCTTATTCTTCTTTTTTTGGCTCCTCAGTCTCTTCCCCACAGCCTCCTATTCTTCCTACTCCTTCATTCTTACCTTCAAATTATCCAATTTCCTCTACTCCTCACATTCCCAGTTCTCCTATATCAACTCCAATATCTGCTTCACATTCTGCAAATCAGGTCATTGATCACTCTTCTTCTCATTCTCCACATTCTTCTTTTTCCTCCTCTCCTTCCAGCTCTTCCTCACTTCCTTTATATGTCAATTTGCCTATTTCTCCTCATAATTCTTCTCCTTCTCCTCATATTTCTTCTCACCCTATGGTGACCAGATCAAAAAATGGCATTTTCAAGCCAAGATCATTTTCTACTACTCTTGCTTCTACTTCTCATCTATTCGAACCTGTAAATCCAACTGAGGCTTTATCTCATCCTGCATGGAAGGCTGCAATGTGTGATGAGTTTCAGGCCTTGCTCAGAAACAATACATGGTGCCTAGTACCCTACTCACCAGACATGAAAGTGATCTCAAATAAGTGGATTTTCAGAACCAAGTATAAATTGGATGGCTCTGTTGACAAATTTAAAGCCAGACTTGTTGCTCGGGGGTTTCAACAAACAGCTGGGGTGGATTTTCTTGAAACTTTTAGCCCTGTTGTTAAGGCCTGCACTATCAGACTGGTCTTTACCCTTGCAGCTACTTTCTCTTGGTCCATTCAGCAAATAGACATTAACAATGCATTTTTAAATGGAGATCTTCATGAAGTGGTCTATATGTCTCAGCCAGAGGGTTTTGTTGATCCAGCCAATCCAACTGCTGTGTGCAAACTCACAAAATCACTCTATGGATTAAAACAAGCTCCTAGGGCCTGGTTCAACAAGATTAAGGGTTTCCTGCTATCATTGCACTTTAAG